ATATTTGGGGGGAAATTGGGGAATTTTGGGGGGAATTTGGGGGAATTGGGAAAGTTTTGGGGATTTTGGGGGAAATTGTGGGAATTTTGGGGTTTTGGGGAGAAATGGGAGAATTTTGGGGGGAAATTGGGGAATTTTGGGGGGTTTTAGGGAGAAATTGGGAAAATCTGGGCATTTTTTGGGGAAATTGGGGAATTTTAGGGGGAAATTGGGGAATTTTAGGGGGAAATTGGGGGAATTGGGAAAGTTTTGGGGGTTTGGGGGGAAATTTGGGAGAAATTGGGAAAATTTGGGGGTTTTCGGGGGAAAATTGGGAAATTTTGGGGGGATATTGGGGAATTTTGGGGGATTTTTTTGGGAATTCTGGGTCTCTTTAGGAGAATTTTGTGGCAATTTGGGGAAAATTTGGGATAACTCGGGGAATTTGGGGGGGAAATGGTGGAATGTGGGGAATTTTAACAGAATTCGGAAATTTTGGGGGAATTTTTTGAGATTTTTTCCGGATTTTTCGGTATTTTTTGGGAAATTTAGGGGAATTTTGGTAGAATTTGAGGGGATTTTGGGGATTTTTTGCGGGGGGAATTTTGGGGATTTTTCAGGGTAATTTTGGGGGGATTTTAGGGGAATTTTGGGGAATTTTATGGAATTTTTAGGGGATTTTGGTAGAATTTGAGGAGGATTTTGGGTTTTTTTGGGCGGGATTTTGACACAATTTTAGGGGATTTGGGAGACTCTTGGATTTTGGGGGATTTTTTGGGAATTTTCCGGATTTTAGCGGGTTTTTGCTTGAACTCGCGGTGGATTTTTTTAGGAACTTTGCAGAATTTTGGGGGATTTTGGTACATTTTGAGGGGATTTGGGATCTGTTGGATTTTAGGGGAATTTTGGGGATTTTTTGGGCATTTTCCGGATTTTCCGCGATTTTTTTTGGAAATTTAGGGGAATTTTGGTAGAATTCGAGGGGATTCGGGTTAATTTAAAAATTAACCCAAAAAATTAATTTAAAAATTTAAAAATTTAGGGGAATTTTGTGGATTTTTTCAGGGTAAATTTTGGGGGGATTTTAGCGGAATTTTGCAGAACTTTGGGGTATTTTGGTACCATTTTAGGGGATTTGGGTTCTCTTGGATTTCAGGAGAATTTCGGGGATTTTTTGGGATTTTTTTTGGGTCATTTTTGGGGAATTTTGGCGATTTTTTGGGTCCCCCATTGACTCTGGGGGTGGCCGCGGTGGGCGTGGCCTTCCCTTCTGTGGCGCCGCCTCATTTCCATAGCCACGCCAATCAACGCCCGCTCATTAGCATAAACCACGCCCCCTCTCCATTCATCCCTACCCCTCCCCGCTGCGCTCAGCCCCGCCCACCCCGCGCTCTGATTGGCCGCTCCCTTCCCGCCGCGCCCCCTGCGGCGTCGCCGATTGGCCACGCCCTGTGGCCACGCCCCCTCGGCGGCGCGGGGCATGCCGGGCTCGCGGCAAGATGGCGGCCCCGGCCGGCAGCGGCCGCCCCGCACAATAGCGGGGGGGAGAGGGGGCGCGGGGTGAGGCGGGAGCGGCGGGAAACGGCCAAAAACGGGGAAAAACGGGCGAGAATCGGGAAAAACGGGGGAAAATGAGGCGAAAGTGGGGAAAAACGAGGCGAAAATGGGGAAAAATGGGGGGAAAATGGGGAAAAATGAGGCGAAAATGGGGAAAAATGAGGCGAAAATGGGGGGAAAGGGGAGGGGGAGCGGCGGGGAAAT